CCATAAAGCATGGAATGGAGTGAGCACCTGATCTATAATAGCTAATGTTTGCAAGAACCTGTGGAGTATCTCTGTGAAGGCAGAAGCAATTACTGCCTTTCAGAGGATGGAAAACAAAAACACAAAAATGAGGAAACTTCCTGAAGAACAAATTGATAAAACAGTTTTCTAAAGGTGAGTGAGGTTCATAGTTCTGAATCATATGTTGGGCATACACATAAGGAACGAATGATTACTATCACAAGGGAAAAGAGACTTCCTCATCAGGTACGTGCCTTGTTGGATTTAATAATTATCACTTATTTAAATTATTTTTGACTGTTAATTGATGGTTTATTTTATACTTTTTTAAATGCTTAGTGGATACACAGGAAAATCATTAACAGGAATATATATATATATAAGGAAGGTTGGGCAATCCTACTTCCGTAGTGATCCAGCCTCGGCAACCCAAGGAGGGGTCTCTATGAGTCAGGGCTGACTCAACAGCACATAACAACAACATATATATATACACATATATATATATAAAAGGTTAAGTTAAAAGTATCTTCGGTGAGAATAAAAGTGCACATTTTGTGAAACTTTCTTTCTATGGTACTCAGATCAGAAACTGATCATTCCCAGTCTTTAAGTGGAAGAGAAGAATGGAAGTAGAGTTATTTAATGGAAGGAAAATAAAATGTAGAAAACTGAGACTACAATATAAGATTTTAATACCTTTAAATCAGAGAAGACTGCATTTCAACATACGGCATATGAGCGATCATCTTTATGGCTATGTATCATATACCAAAGCTATGCAAGCCAGCTGGATGCTCCTATCTTGGACCTGCCTTCTACACTTCATGTGCTTTGCTGCTTAAACTATGCTTGTGTGCGCACACACACACACACACACAGAACTTTTCCAAACTGCAGATTATTTCCTTCGTATTACAAACCAAGTGATATTAGAACTACTTTGTAGGTAAAAATGGGAAAATGAGCCTGAAAACTTTTATCTCATCCTTGCCACTAATTAACTGAGGTGTGACTGCTCAGTTTTCTTCACATGCAATTAAGAAGATGATACTAGATTACCTTGCATCTACACATGACATGAATCTAGTTCATATCTCATTTTGCTCATAAAGAAACCTGGGTCCAGAGCAGGTAGATAGCATGCCAAAAGACAGTTTGTTACTGAGAAATACAGGATTAAGATCTTCTGACTCTCTGTCCTTTCCTCTTAAATTTTACCACAAGTAGAAACCTTCAACCATACGTAGCTTCCAATTCACGAGGAAAAACTTACCAGATAGACACATGGCTAGCTGGAATATAAGGGCAATGGATGAAAGAGCTTTTTTTTTTTGCTAGGCTTTGTGTTTGGAGAAGGCATTAATAGATAAATGCTGCCCTCATTCACTTTTAGCACTTGCTTTTCTTTGCTTTTATGACAGTTTGAGCTAATCACAGGGCAATGCTATAGAACTGACCCCTAGAGAGGTCCCTAAACCTCTGAGACCCAGGCTTCTTTGCAAAGGAAAGGTAGCCTTTGCCCAAGGACACATATTCAGAAAGCATTCAGTTACCTATTGAGAAATTGTCTCTAAGGAATGAGACAAGGGGCCCTTGAGGAAAGAGAACCAATAAATCTCAAATTATGATTCACTTTTTGAGATTATTAGGAATGTGGGGAAATGAAGAATTGTTAGAGTAGAGGGATGGAATATAGTAATTTGGTCAACTTTCTATTATATTGTCAGGCATGTAGCTAAGGTAAAAAATAGTTGGCACTATATATCTTCCTTTTACTTGGCTCCATGATCAATACCCACATAAGCAGCAGTCAAGAAAGCAAACAATTTTGAAAGCATCGGGCAACTCTGTTGCAAAACACCTCTTTAAAGAGTTAAAAAGCAAAGATGTCATTTTGAGAACTAATATGCACCTGACCCAATCCATGATTTTTTCAATCACCTCATGTGCATGTGAAAGTTGGACAATGAATAAGGAAGACAGAAGAGGAAATTAAGGCTTTGAATTATAGTGTTGGTGAAGAATATTGAATATATTACGGACTTTCATAAGAATGAACATAAGAATTTGTTCATAAGAATGAACAAATCTGCAGTGGAAGTAGGAGGGCCAGAATGCTCCCTAGAAGCAAGGATGGTGAGACTTCATCTCATGTACCTTGGACAAAAGGCACATGAAAATATATTCACCATCACTGATCATTAGAGAAATGCAAATTAAAACTCCAATGAAAT